GAATCCTACTGTTGAAATCTGGCTGCACGTACTGAAGAGGTCCTGGACACTGTCTTAGGGTTCTCCAAAACGTCCTAGGGCTACACCTGTTCTCCACAATGGCCATTAATTAATAAGGCAAAACCAAAAAACTAAAAGCCAAACTTCATTGAAATTTGCAGAGGCTGAAATCTGATTCAGATGCCTGCTTCTTAGTTACTGCAGAAGAGAAGGAAGTTAGCACCTGTGTCTGAGGTGCACAGTTATCAACAGAACAAACCATTCCCACAGCCCTCCAGTTCCCTTGGATAAATAGGATGCGATTCTGATATTAAGTTAGCAGCCAATCTGTGCTATAGCAACTTGGGGCGGGGAAAATGAACTCCTTTGGGGGGTTTCATTTGAAAGCTATTATTCCTTTGATATAGCGCTGTGTATTTTTTTGCAACAGGCTTATTGCACTCTTTCTTGAAACTGACCTCCCAGCAATGGGTAATTTAAAATAATGAGCGTCTGTCAGCCCCCAGGGCCGATGGATTCGTGCGTTTAAAATGACACGCTGCAGTCTGTATTTCACTTCTCAGGTAAAGCAAGTGCATAAACTGCCACATTAGCAATGTCTCTGTGCAGCCAAACTACTCATCAAGTGCGTTGCGTTGCGTTGCGTTGGAAGGACCTGAAGTCCATAGTGGTGGGGTGACACAGTGCCTCAGTGCATGGTGGTAAGACTTGAATTTCAGGGTGCTCTTTCAAGGCTGAAATGCTGACCTTTTTGTGCTGCATTTTAATTAGCCAGATGCATGTAGCCTTGAAGTGCTACATCCTCGAGAAAACATCCACAGCTGGTAGGAAGGAGTGAATTCCCCGAGTCGTGTCGCATGTGATGAACCCACCGTGGATTAATGGAACGTGGAAAGCTACTCCATTTAGCCTTGCTGACGGGAGGAGAGTTGGTATGGACAGGCTCTGTGTCCAGGTAAGAAGGTATGGGCTCCTGTTGCATGAACCGGAGGATAGTGGCAAATGGTGCCAGAGAGAAACAGCAAAAATTGAGATTTGTGGCTTAAATTGCCTGGTTTTGTTACATGTATGGGGCCATGGAGAGGGCATGATACAGAGCATCCTGTATGTAACGCATGGAAGCACCATTCTCCTCTTCAGTAGGAATGGAGATGTTGAAACCGTCCAGCTGAACAATGTGGAATATGTGGTCAGTGGATTGTCACTCTTTGGGGCAGGGATAGTTTTTGTGTTGTGTTGGGACACCTTCACAGTGGGATCTAGCTCCATGGAGGGTTCTTTGGCAGAAGTACAGGACTATGACAGCCTATTACCATTAATCATGTGTTAAAGGACAAACTAGGCCAGGGGTTGGCAAATATTTGGCTGGAGTGCCAAAAACACCTCAACCTTGACCCACACCTTCACTTGGTGCACAAGGGGCAGATGGCAGGGGAGCTGCGAGGGGCCCAACCCTCAATGCTGGTGTGGCAGGTGCATGCACACCTCTGGGCTGACAGTGTGGAAGGGGCCAGCGTTGTGCTGCCCTGGCTCCTTCCCCGCCGTTCACCCAGACACGTGCAGCCGCTGCCACCATGGAGCCAGTGCGCTTGCAGCCTCCCAGCCGCCTGCACCCAGCAGCAGCTGCCTAGAGCTCTGGGTCAGCTGTGGCATGCCAAGCAAAATGGCCTCATGTCCCATGTTCTGGCACATGTGCCAGGAGTTGCCAACCCCTGGAGTACGCAGTGAATGAGGGGGATAAACTGCCTTGTAGCTATCTTCAGAATTAGTGCCTGAGCCTCTAATTGACAATAAAGGGCTGAATCCTCATTTCATGCTTAAGTAACTCATCTTATTTCAACAGATTGACTGGTTTACACTCACACACACGTGTTAGAAGTTAATTTTTGGAAATAAACATCAGGATTTTCCTTGCAAATTACAAGCTGGGAATCTTTACACAAACCATAACGGAAATTCTGCAGCAGTCAGAAATGGGAATCCAATGGGAATTTCACTAGCTCGGTGTCCAGTGCAAGTAGAGCAAGGGGAGCAGCATACACAAGATTGTTTCCCTGTTTTAAGGATTCAAGATTTTAAAGGCATACACTATATAACAGCCCTCAAATGCTTTTGAGACTTTCTACAAATTTTGTAGAAAAAGGTCGATTCCATTTTAATGGATTCAGCGAAATAAAAAGGACATCTGAATGTTTACTGCAGGACACTTTCTCTTTATGGAGACAGGTTAGGCATTGTTTGTAAGAGAACCAAGGGCTATTTTTTTAATCTTGCTCCAGCAAGTAAGTACAAGCCACTCATCTTAAGTGTGAGACATTTCACTCCTACTTTTATTGGAAAAAAGCCCTATTTCCTTTAATCCATGACTCCTGCCTTGGCAAAAGAGCCTGCTGTTTGTGCTGAGAAATATGATATACATTTTATTCCCACTGAAATAAAAATAGCAGAGAGAGCACCTGAATGTGTATGTCTGTATGATAAAGACAGACTGTGCTGGTTCTGTGCATACTTCCTGTGTATGAGACAAGGTAGCCATGTTAGTGCAGTGTGGTGTATGGGCCAATAAACTCTCTTGGAGAGGACATCTTTCCTGCAGCATCGTGTTTTCATGGGCCTGACTTTCACCAGGAGCCTGCATGCAACACAAAGCCTTTAGTTTCCTTTGCTGGTAAGCCCTTGTACTGGAACAGCAGTCCAGGGCTATTTCTGTTTTTACAGGTGGTAAGGGACTAGCCACATTTTTCCAGGCTCGGGATTGGCAACTGCATTGAGTTGAAGCAGGTGGAAAACAAGCACCTAACACGGTTCTGCGTACTTGGTGAAAAGACTCCATGATTGAGAAATCATCGGCCAGAATTGCATTTTCTCCATATTCAACACTGGTCATATGAGGGGTTTGTACTCTGGAGGCGAACACACACAACCCCAAGTGAAACCAGGGAGAGAAATCTAGGGTGCCCATGATACACCCCAAGAGCTAGAGAGGCAATTTCTACACCAGAGAACAGAGGAAAGCGGCAGCAACAGTGAGTAACAGAGGAGAATGGAGTACACACTCCTGCCCCAGGCTGTAGTAAGGCTGAAGGAGCGAGACTTTAAAAGCATCTTCTCTCCCTAACTGGTTTTCATAACACCACTGAATCTTAGCTGCAGTGAAAAGATTGATTTTTAAAGTCTAGATCAGGGCTAGCCAACCTATAGCCTGAATGCCACAAGTGGCTTGGGAAGCCTCTGTGCATGGAACACGGCACTTTGGGGAGGGGACCAGCAGCACAGCTGCAGAGGGCATGGAGCAGAAAGTGGAGCAGCAAATCAGGTAAGGAATACAGGGCAGACTAGCAGGAAAGGGAAGGAAGATCAGAGTAGCACTCCGGAAGGACGTGAGGCTAACTTGTGGCATGTTTGCCAAAAAGGTTGTCCCCTGCTGTTCTAGATTTTCTATTAAGTGAAACTTCTTCTAATGTTGCTTTATGAAGATTTGCTTTATCTGTCGCAACTGAATAAGGCAGCATAGACAGGAGACGAGGAATGTTGAAAGGCTCATTGCAATTCTTCAAACTACTGCTAACCCAAGAGTAGAAAGCTGCTATTATTGCATAAATCCAGCCCACATGCCGATATTCAGTGGCCTTCTTGACAGGTTGGAGCAGCTTGAGTTGAACAACCCTAATTTATGTCTCTCATTTTAAGATCTAGCTGTTGTTCCAACCTCTACCACTCACATGTTTCAAGACATTAAGCTAATCATCTTAGATTCTCTTCAGAAGTAACTGGTACCTGTGGATTGTACTGGGGAAGACTGTGGGAGCTCTAAAGGATCAGATGTTTCCCTGAAAAGTTAAATCCCTATAATTCCATGGATCAGTTTTTCAGTTAGGCACAGGTATACCTACCCATCTGTCTTAAAAACCCTTTCAATCCCTTTAAAATCTCAATGTTTTCTGACATACATGAGCCTTTTTCTCCTGACCTTCTCCCCACTGTCCTCCCCAAAATTGAGGTGGGTGTAATAAGCAGAGAAGTTGGTTTTTCACTGAAAGAAGCACACCTGGAGACACCGTGCACATGGTGCTACTGCCAAAATAGCTGCTGCTTGACTGGCTCGGCAAGCTGAATGGGTGGAGTCGTGTTAACCCTCTCACAGCCACAGCTATTGGTTGAGCACTGCAGCAATGCACCTGAAGCAACAAGCGAGCTGCTGGTATTGTCTTAATTATTCTTGATGAGGCTTGGAATGTGAAAATGCTTCATTTACAGGATCCTAAATAAAGTACTTACAGGAAAGAACTAATAGTCTCACTTTTAGGAACAGAGTGCCCAAGAATTGTGGCATCTCGGGAGAACTGAGGCAGCAGGCTGGAGTCTGGGTGAGGTAGCAGGAAGTTCCAGAGCGTCTCCTGGGATGCCACGCTGCTCCCACTCCATGTTTCCAGGAAGACGTGCTCTTCATCACAGTGACCATGACTCAGGGGGAGAAAAGAAATCTACAATCTGTCTTCCAAAAACAAGGTGTGATGTATAGAAGAAAGTACAGGTAAGTTGCCTGTATCTTTGTTCTTTTCCTGGCTATTTAATGTGAAGGGGAAAAGTTTGGGTTAAGTGTTGCAATACTGGTCTTTATAATGATCTTCTACTGTAAAATGAGGTTAGCAGAAGAGGATTCTTACCAGACCCATTGTGAACTACCTGCGTTTAGACCATATGATCTATTAACACAGGCTTTGTATGGAAATAAGGATACAAACCAATTGGGCCCTTCAGAAATCCACCTACCTATGTTTTTACTTCTATTTAAGCATAGTGGGGAAAAAGGAGGCAGTAATTATTAGGTTCTAAGGCAAGACACTTTATTAGATGTATTATTATGTATTTCAACCTCACCTACTTAAACTATAACTAGAACCAGAATATTTTTCTCTCTGGAAAGCACTAGCATAATTCAAGACTGTACAAAAGTCTTCCACACTTGATTAACTTTACAGTAAAAGTTTACACTCTTAAAATTTTTTTGGAAGCTTTTATTTTCTAACTTAGCATCTTAACAGATTTTACCCAAGTTGTCTTCCTAAATACATATACAGTACACATGAGCATACTACAGTCATGTTCAGAAAAAGGTGATGTGGGAGGGAAAGTAAAACAGGGTAACAATTCACTAGCCAGACACACAGGTTATATGTAAAACAAACATACTGTAAGTGAAATATTTAAAAATGAAAATAAATTAAGGTTACATCAAAGTTCCTGCTTGACTTTTATTATTTAAATCCTCAGTATAATATATACCACTGCATTATGGGTCATGGTAAGGGAGTGGGTCTTGAAAAAATCTGCTATAGAAAAAGTTTTATCAAAATAAGATTGAAGATCATCCTTCACACAACTATAGAAATTCTGCTGAATCACGTATTCAAACTAGGGGCATTTATTTTTTATTACACTGGATCTCTGCAAGGTATCAGCTGTTAAACTGAACAGCTATATAAATCAGATGTTAAGGAGCAAGTCTATATATTTTGACTGAGCCGATGTTTTGCCCCAGCCCTTTCCTTGCTTAGCTAAACTGTACGTTAGATTCTCAGACACCTGCAAGAGAACAGTTATTTTATCATATTCATCTATGTTCTAGAAACCAACATATGATACTTTAAGGACACCAAGTCGCTACGCAAACAATGCTAGCATGTTGAACATAGGCTTTAAAAGACATATAAATAAAATGTTCAACTTTCTTCCATACATGATGCTTCTTGAGAAACATTGACAGTTTGTGAACCAGTCATGTGCATGTCAGTCATGTCGTAATACATTGTTATGTCTCACAAAAAATGTAGTAGTCTTTAGAAAACATTAGTAAGCACCTTGGCTCACTATTACTAGGCACTGTTACTAGGCACTCCCCATCAACTACGAAAGGATAAGAAAGACCTGAATTTTACTGAACAGGGATTGCAGTCCACCAGATAAGAAGGCATACTTAATCTATAGCCTTCTGAAGTTTTGTATACACAATAGAGAAACAGCAGATACTGAAATATATTTAAAGGATATTTAACAGAAATTTCCTCCAATGTTCAGTTATCTATTTTACAATAAAACTGTTCAGCTGTACTCCTTTCTATATGCAAAATCAGAAGGTCAGTGTACATTTCTGTGGAAATTTAATTTCACTAACTAACATTTAAATCTTTGTTGTTTTGTCAATTTAGGTCATTTTTTCTTGTTAGCCAAACCTATGAGAAGAAAATACTCAACAAATTATACAAAGTACTCAAAGCCACTTGTATTTAAATTGTATCAAACTTTCAGTGTTAAACCTAAAAAAACCCAAAATCTCCAAAAAGTGATGGTTAAAAGTCAGAACAAAGCTCCTTCTCTGCTCCTGCAGGAGAGGGGCAGGCAGGCTGCCCCTCTAGTGTTCAGTCCGTCAGTTTGGGGGTAGTGTGCCTACTGTCCGGCACTTTCTGGATTTGTGGTGGTGGTTTCTGTGCCAATAGGTTGCACATTGTCTGCCAGATTGTGTGCATGCTCAAGAAACAAGTCTTTAAGTACACTTAGCTCCTTGGTCAGGAGCTTAATTTTTGCCTCCAAACGTTCATTTTCTTCTTTCAACTGGTTAACCCTCTGCAGCGTATCCTGTGCCTTCTGCTTGCTTTTTAACCGGCTCTTTTTCACTGCCATGTTGTTGCGCTCTCGGCGCTGGCGGTATTCATCACTGTTTCTATCCACAAAGGAATTCTTTTTGCCCTGCTTGCTTGGAGGCACGGCTTTGCCTCCACCACCAGGGCTAACGGGCACCAGCTGAGGAACCTGCTGCAAACCGCTGGTGTGTGCTGGTGTGTGAATCACACTTATCCCGTTTGCTTCCGTAGTGGCGTTCTGTTGTGATGCCTTGCTCATTTGGACAGAATCTTCTTTTATCACCACAATACAATTTGTTAGAGATGGTGAAAATTGTTAGTAGTTTCCAGATTATGTTGCCAGTGAGTCTTCACATGGATTAAGGGCAAGTTGAACCTAGTAGAAAAATACATTTATTAAAACATTTAAAATGCCAGAGTGAGCTATGATCTTGTACCTCACTGGCATTAGCAAGAGCTGCTGATGGCACATCTGGCAGAAACAATACATCATTACAGTGCTGGAAATTGAAAAGCTGCCAACTGTTGAACTATTTCAGAAGTCCCAGGGTCATTTGGATTGGAAGGGACTGTTAGTGGGTCATCTAGTCAGCCTTTCTGCACCATGGTTGGAGTTATTCAGTTGTCCCAAAGCCATCTCTTGATGGCTGTCTAGTCTAGCCTTGACTAACTTGAGTTTCACAACCCATGTCTTGGCACCAAGTTAGTCTAACTTTTCCTCCAGTTTATATAATTCTCTTAATTAGACTGAATTTTCCATGCTACAGCTTAAGTTTATTAACTGTCTGACTCTTGACCAATAGGACTCTTGTCTTTGAACTACCTCCCTGTGTATGTGCAGGCAAATTTCCTACAAGTCTCCCCTTTTCCAGACTGTGTGCACCCAACTTTCTACCATTCCAAAGACTCCTTCCAGTATCTTCTAAACATAAATGCTCTCTTCTGAACTTGTTTTGCTTGGTCTGTTTGGTATTTTTTCCCCCCTTTTTATCATAGGATGCCCCAAACTGGTACCTATGTGCAAACAGAAGTCCAACTGCGCTGCAGGAAATAGCTATTTCACTTTAAGGCAAAAAATGTAGTAAAATGTACGTATTATGTAAGATTAACCTCCACAGTGAATTAATGTCTGTTCTGTCTGAATGTGTACCTTTGCCAATAAAAATATTCCTGTTTCAATTCGTATGTTACGGCAAAATGAAGCTGCAGCTAAAAAAATTAATCAGGAAGTGTTAATGTGCTAATTGTTCTTGCTAATGAGATGAATCTTTCAGTGTGTACCTACATGTTAATCTTACTCACAAAATATGCTACCATAAAGGATATCAATATGGTTTATAGTTACAGCGGAGAGAGTTCACAGCTCCTGTTTTCCTGTTAGATGCATATAACTTTCCAAGAGTCATCCACAGAACTAGAATCTCTCATGCTTGTCCAAAGCATAAGAGAAACCTTTTCCCTCTCTTTATTTGAAGAAATGTCATTGAAGGAACGGAAATACCCCTTTCAATATAAGGGAAGGGCTTCAGCATTTAAGCAGTGCATAAAATGGTCTTTCTGCACTTATTCCAGTGAATTTATAAAAAGAAAACTTACCAATAATGTAGGCCTGATTCTACTTGATGCTTACCAAAGTGCTGAGCTGTGCAAACACTTAAACTTTAATAAGAATGGAGTTCAGCAAATGAACTGTTTTTGGAAATCCCACCTTGCAACTTTTCACAGTGCAGCATCTCTCCAAAGCATCACATACTCACATATACAACTGATTATGTGCTCACAGAAATACAAACAGTGCATAAGAGGTATGTACTGGGAATGTACTGGGAGGTTGCAGATTGAAGACTGTAATGCTAGCAAAAGCCTAGTACTAAAATATTGTTGGGTTCCTAATTGTTATTATCTTTTCATTACATGAATTGCTTAAGAAAGTTTATTTCTACAACCAGTTGATTTACACTTGAGAGAGGCAGAAGAGGAGCTTTTCTGCCACACAAGAAGCTTCAAATATCACTGAAAAAACTGTAAGTTACCATGTAGTTGATGTATGAGATTTGTGCAGTTTTATACTCGGGAGCTCTGTATAAATTCTGCTGTCTTCAAATGAGTTTACTCAAAAATCTGTTTAAAAAAATTGTACAATTAGAAATTCAGAACTTAAGAACAACTGGTTCTCTTCTTGTGTATACTGAATCCTCTTTTGTTCATCTTCCAAAAAAAGAATCCTTAGATTCACCAAGAGTGAAAACTTTAAGAATCACAGTCATTTCGGCCCAACAAGCAGGAAAGATGTACAGCAGCTGTTTAATAAATCACAAGTGTAGAAATGGCACACATTCCCTATGAAGGCTGTGGCAGTGTGACACTGCAACTCACAAACATGCTAAGACAGCTAAATATTATTTAAAAAGCAGGTAAAACCCAAAAGCTTTGTAGATACACTTGCTTTACGGTCGTGTTGGCTAAAGGAAGATGCTGTGCTTGGATAAACCAACCCTACGCTGACAGGAACTGACTGTGAAGGGCATCGGTAACAGTGCAAAAGATGGATTGTCTGACTCTTGCACGCAGATAACAGATTGACACAGATGGCTGAAAACAAGACACTGAGCTTGTTAATGCCTATGGTAATATCAAAGACAAATGTGTTTTTAGAATTATGGTCAGGCTATACTGGAGAGCTCCCCTACCCTGATGTCCTTGCTTTGCCTTAGCAGGCTTAAGTCACTAGCAAGTCGTATGTCAATTTTCACATGTCAAATGGGGGGAGGGAGGAGGGTTGCAACTTAATTACAGTGTAGAACAGTGGTTTTCATCATGTAGTCTGCAGACCCCTGGGGGGTCCACAGACTGTCTAAGGGGTCCGTGAAAGATTAACTATGATCAATCAACGGTATATGAATACCCATATTTACAATTCAAAGGGGTCTGCACCTCCACTTGAAATTTTTTAGGGGTTTCCAAATGAAAAAAGAAAAACCACTAGAGTAAAATGATGATGATGATGATGATGATGATGGTGATATACCTGGTATATACAGAGTGTGCTTTCTACCTACAGAGTTCCAGGGTTTTAGAGACGTTATTATCACTATTATTACAGATAAGGAAACTGAGACTCAGTTTAGTGCCTTGCCCAGGTCTTGATGGGGCAAAGAAGAAAAACCAGATTTCACAAGTCCCTGCACTGCTTTTTCCAATCTGCCACATTAAACATAAAATTATATTGTTAAACCTATATGGGCCTTCTCAGTTTTCATGTGTCTTCCCTATTTTTGTGTAATGTTTGGATTCCCCTCACAAAGACAAATATTTTGATAGCTTCCCACATTACAACCCTACAAAAATTAATCAATGCCTACATATGACTGAATTAAGGAAGCATCAAGAAAAAAAAAACGAATTAAGGAAGCGTCAAGAAAAAGGCAATTTCAGTTTCAGGTTTCTCACTGGTCATTAAAGAGCTCTTTTTAATCATGAAAAAATCCTGACAGCATCATTTTAAAGACTGTACAGACAACTGCCTGTGCATGTTAGACATTACCTTCTGCAAAGTTAGCATTTGAATAGACATGTTACCATCCCTGTTCCTGTATTTAGAGTTTTATTGCCTGGGCAAGTTGCTAGAGTTTCTTTTACAAGCTGAATGTGTAGAAGAGAACAATGATGGGTGCAGCATATTTTCAGTAAAATTGACAGAAAAGCTGTAAAAATAAAAAATGTCTGCTCTTCATGAAGTTTTAGCTCAATGCGTTATCTGAACCCAAGTAGTCCCTTGGTAGCTGAAAAAAAACATTTCCTTAAAATGAGGAGAAAAAGTGCACTACTGTGGCACATTCATCCTCTACTAAGTCATCTGTTTAGAAAGCCAAGTAATTCCAGTGAAAGGAGGACCCCCCCCCCCGACTTGGCTAGTGCTGCCTGTACACGTGGGGGGCATGTATTTTAATTGGTGGTTGCTGGGCAGCTGCTATAATTAAAATACTGCAGTGTTACATGTATTAAGCCCCTGCGCATGTAAAAATGACCACGGGACACTATCTAAACCTTGTCTGACAAAGTCTAGATAGAGCCACCCCACAGCCATTTAAAAACATGCAGGGGCTTAATACATACGAGGCTGCAGCAATGCTGGCACGTTCAAATTAGAAGGCGGAGCGGACTCAATTAGCTGAGTCTGCTCCAACTCATTCTAATTGGAATGTGAAGGAGCAGGTGTAGAGGCAGCCCTTAAGTCCAGTATGTGCTCACACGCACCCTACCCTTGCCTTCAACATGCTTGTGATTGCAACCTCTCATGCTACACTGAAATATGAAGCACTGAATAGCCCAACTCTGATCTGAATACCGACAGGCCCATCTCTCCACACAAGGACCCAATCTTTTAAGACCATGCACGATAACTAGGGGTGCACCAATAAGGATTTTTCAGGCTGATATCAACAGCTGATTTTTAAGGAGGCGTATCAGCCGATACCAATCTGATTTCCAATACCAGCCCAGCAGCTTGGAGAGTTGTGTGCAGCTGGTAAGTCCATTGTGGTAGAAGGGAAGGGCATGGGGGGCAGATCAAGGCCCCCACGGTAAGGGAGATGTGGGGCTGGGGCAGGGGAGGGGTGCAGTGCATGGGACAGACCCATGGCTTGTCCAAGGGGCACGGGGGGGGAGGGGGTTGGCTCCTGCCACTGCACACCGCTCATCCTGTAGCTTGTCCGGTAGCTCCTGCCACTGCTCCCACTGCTTGTCCGGGACGAAAGAGGGATGTGTGCTCCTGGATCTGCACAGGGCGGGGCGGGTTGGG